GAAGTATAGGCGTTTTACGGACTAACGCGAGAAGAGAACAGGTGAGATATATTATGAATGCACGTATATCATATGTTACGGTTAAAGCGCGCGAAATTATCTCACTACATGCGCGACAATTAATTGTTTCCGATCGAACAACAGAGACGATACATATTATCAGAGTGTGTGCATATATATATATATATATATATATATATATATATATATATATATACTTTAACTGTAACATATATTATACGTATGTATATTTTTATATATACATATACGTATCAACATTAGGTACATACAGTTAATAATCCCTCATATACGTTTTATAAGTACGCATCACAGATATGTCGTTGTTCGTGGAACGAAACGAAACGCGAACGGCGACGAAAGGGGGGAGGAGGGGGAGGGGGATACCGGCACGGTGAGAGTACGGAAGTGTCGAAATCAGAGGAAAAACTGTGTACGTGTTTTATTATACGAATTGGAACGAGCGCTTTCCTCGTGCGACATGACGCAGGAACGACTCGAGAAACAAGCGATAGAAATAAAAGAAGAACAGAAACGGGGCGAATACATGGGGAGAAAATCAATCGCCCAGGGGGAATCGCTCGATATCTCGCGAGGAACTCGCAAGGAGCGGAGCAGCGGTTACACGACATTTTCCCAAAAACTAGATAGAAAAATGTTGGTACCAACAAAAACCCCTTAGTATCACAATTTTAATTTCTACGGATTAGTGACAGTTTATTATTTGACACATACACACGCATATGTCAAAACGACTCCGCAAAATTCATGGACTTGCTACTTCAACAGTACCACTAATCCGCTGAAATTAAAATTGTTGTCTAGAGGTTTTTGTCGGTACCACCATTTTCCCATCTAGTTTTCGGGAAAATGTCGCGTAACCGGAGCAGCTAAATTGGAACAAACGATCTGACGGTATAATCCACTACATGATTTTTATATATATATATATATATATATATATATCCCGTGTCGAATCTCGAAGTCTCTCGCGATACATCGTACCGCGATAAAAATGCATTCGAACGGTGAGGGCAAATCATACGCGTCGGCTAGCGACAACTCTTGAAACAACACGAAAGTGTCGTGTATCGTACAATTATACAACTCTTTGCTCGCTATCTACTGGTAATGCGATATTAAGAATGACGAACGTAGACGCGTAACGTGGGCGCTCAGGGCTGGGCAGTATTTCGAAGCGTGAACGAGAGAGATCACGAATAAAATACACCCAAACAGATATACAGAGTGGTCCTTGTAAAGTATGATGAAATATCTAGAAATATTTGTCGTACCAAAAAGTTGTTTGTGAGCTCATAGTTCATGACTTCATAGTTTTTTCTGTATTTAATAAAGTCAAAAACAGAAACTATGAAATCTTTTATTTAATTTATTGTTTTATTACATAAGTGTTTATAGTTTTTGATGGAAATATTTTTCAAAGAATTGTTCCCGATAAAGCTTACTTTTTCTTCCCGTAGAATCCAAATATATGACATTCTGTGGAAGATTCCATTTGAAATTACGAAGTTATTCCCCGTTCTCCTTCAAGAGGGATCGGGAGCGAATTTTTGTTTACATAGAAAGACCCTTGGAATACATGCAACTTTTTCATACGACAAATATTTTTATAGTTTTTTTTATATTTTTATAGTTGTCACGCTTTACGTGGACTACCCTGTATAATCCCATCCTTAGCGGGATCCTCTGTACATATACGTATGTATATATGTATATATGGCCTCGAGATTCTTCTAAACCAAGGTGAAAATACAAAATCGTGGAATCTTACACTTTTCCAAAATGGAGAGATATTTTAAGCACAATATTATTCTTTTTTAGAGAAAAAGTCTTTCAGCAAAAACTTCCGTTTAGAATATTATATAGGCAATAGCACCTTGCAACTAAAGTTCTTTCTCGTTTTTGCTGTTGGAATAGTTCCCTCTCGGTTTCAGAAGAATCCTCTCCCATCTACGAGAAGAGTCCGCCGAGGGCGAGATTACATTTGTCTGAGTGCAGACAGAGAGGATATATCGCGTTGAGTCTTCTGCTTGTTCTATTCGAATGCTCGACATTTTTGCTTTAAGACACATTCATATCGACACCTTGTGTTTCACGCATCACGCGCGAATAATTCTCTTTTGCAGACTATAATTTGTATTTCGCGAATTGGTGCTTGAAATACATTCCTATGGCACTCAGCCCAACCCTGCGGGCGCCTCTAGTCGCGATTATCTCTTCGGGTATCCTCCTCGTCGATTCTCGCCATCGCGGCTCGCTAAAGTTATGATCGACAGCCGTCTTTGTGTGACAAAGCTGTCACATTGTTCTCATGTTTAGCGCGTTGATCATCGTGTCTTTTCCTCTTTCTTCCATCTCTTCTCTTTCTCCTCGCATTCGGAATATTCGTGATTAAATTGTGCGTTCCGTGTGTACGTATATAATCGTTCGAGTATGCGCGAGTGCGCGCGATTATCAAATACAGAATGCAACGGATAGAGAGAGAGATGGTGTTGTGGAAATTCGTCCAGCATTTTGTCTCGCGAAAGTACACGAAAGTTATACGAACGGCCGTCGTCGGTTCGTATCCTATTTCTCACGTGTCTCTTCGACACACGCGCGTAAAATTTGCGAAGGCCGCGAATGGCGCGAATTTACCGCCGTTTCTCACTCGTAGTTCACGTCGGGCAAAGATCAAGGATAGTTTCGAAGAGGAAATCGCACGATCGTTTTACATCTATATCGGGATCGAGATGCTTGCGGTGAAGTGTCAGCAGTGTGGCAGTATAACGCGCATTATTGCTGATAACAATAATTAAATTACACGTGCAACAACAAGTAGTAGATTACGATCGAGAAATCGAGAGAAAGGATTACCAGTGCGATGGCAACAAGGAAGCGCTCTCTCTCTTGCTCGATCTCGCTTTTTTTCACCTTCTCTCTCTCTCTCTCTCTTTCTCTATCTCTATCTCTCCCTTTCCCTCTCTCTCAAACTTCTTCCTCTCTTCTTTTCTCTGTGAGAGAGCCGGGGAGAGCTCTGATCGCGACTGACGCGTAAACAAAGCCCGCTCACGTTACGTGTAAGGTAAAAGTACCGATGTCTGAACACGTGCCAAGTATGTAGTTAATTCTGGACATTCTTGTTGTTTTGATTTTAAATACGAATTTTTAATCTTCAAACATAAAATATTTATATATATTCTATATATATATATA